TATATATATATATATATAAATTCAACGCTCACCAGAGAGAAAACAAAAGGCCATAATTTCAAATCGACTTTCGAAATTAATTTGAAACGTATAATTTGTCTGTAATCGATTCGAGAAAACATTTCGCACAATCGTGTAAAATTGCGTGGGGCAAAAGCCACGATTCCATAGAGCGAATTAACGATATCACGTGGTGTGCAATTAAATTCTGTGTCTTTCGGTGTGAGAAGAGATTAAGAAAAGTGATTTATCCTTAATAATATAAATAAATAAACGAAGTCACACGCAATCGCCCGTGGGATGACATGCATTGAAGAATCAAATCTGCAACAGCTAAGGATTAGCGCGACGGCCTATGCGCGCCTATCTCGTGGCGTTTTCTATCTTTTTTTTCCTAGGATAATGTCACGCGGATGGCGATGCAAAGTTTGAAAAAAAGGATATGTACAATATATATCCTTAATGATATAGAAATATATATATATGAAATTATAGTAACGCGGTTTTTTCCACGTTTTAGCGAATCTTTACGTCCCTGATGCTCATGGGAAGTATTTTTGTACGTTTACTCTGTACCTACTGTACCGTTTCGCTCTAAAACTATATCTATTGTTATCATTGTGATACTCGCTATACTGCGATCGTCTTTTGAATCGTTAATGTAATATTTACATAATAATGTATAATAAGCGGGCGTGTGTTTGTTTATTGATACGCTCATGGATCATAGCGATGAAGATATCTTCGAGAATTTTAACGATTTTCAAACACAAAGTGTATTGACGATAGATTTACTATAGATTGTTATTATTATTATTATTGAACATGGTTTAGTTGATTACTCTCCAGGTCAAGAGTACTCTCTATCCAGTAATGCTCGGTACGATTTTTATAATAATTGTCGACATATACGACGCTCCGTTTTTCTCGCTATGGCGGAATGAAATCGTTTCCATGTCATAAGTCTGTCCCATTCTTTTCTTCTTCGTCTAATTAATTCCACATATTTGCGGTTACATGTGATTTACATTCCTTGGCATTTATACGGTACCCATGGCTGCATTTTTTGATCAGTATATAAGTGTGACTCGCCGTTGAATAATTAATCGCATAAACAAATAATATACCTATTTATTATAAATGTACATACTACTGTTATTGTAATAAAGAAGAATGTGAGGGAAATATAAATATATATAGTATAATTATATGACTCTTCAATCGGCGTGCTTTGTTAATTTTATTGTACATTTATTTCTTACAAAATTTCGTATATAACAATCTTCATTTTCCCAATCGTTTGTATGTTTAATAGGGTTTAGTTCTGTGATGATCGCGAGCTTTCCCGTTGCTAATTTTAGTCAACAGCTTGCAGGGCGAATTTTGCTGCGTCGTTTCCGCTTGCCGCCATACATTGATAATACCTCCCTCGCCGACTGTCACCAAACAATTACTCTGCAGAATCGAAAATACGAAATCACATCGATAATTTTTTAAGTTGCGAAAAGTATATAATTTCTTCTAAATCTACTTACTTTTTCATGTACCCAACTATCCCGGACTATTTGCTTATTTCCTACAATCTCGTGACATGTTTCCAGACGATTCTTCATGATGTTCAAGCATCTTAGATTCTCCCTGAAAAGATGTTTTACAACTGTATGGATTTGATACATATGTTAATACACTATTTGAAACAATCAGGAAATTATTTCCTGGAATAATTTTTTGTAGGAATAATTTAACTAAATTATCAACTACATATTTTTAAAAATTCAAATAT